TAAATTTTGATGCACTGGACATCAAATGGTATTTGTGCATTTATATTCCAGTGATTTTTAGCTAATACATTTTAATTATATTTTTAATACAAAACATTTCCCCGTAACGGTTTTCGCACGAACACTTCTCCGAAAGGACTAGATATAATCTGTTTGTCTGAGTAATTTTTCAGTAGTACTTACCTGATAAGGCGCTACTCACTACATTATAAACCATTAAAAAACAACATTCAGTAAAATGTCTAAATTTGATACGTTTTTACAAATAACTTTGAGTTGTATTGGAATAAAACTATTTGTTTCAATTTGTAAAATTTTACTGAACAAATTTTTGTATAAAACAATTTTAAAAGTATCAGTCAGTTTTGGCGACAGATGTATGCCATGTTTACAAAAATATTGACTTGAGTTATGATTATTTAAGCTTTTGATCCTTTATGTCCCCTTCGTATCAGACCCAAGTCAGATATATATAAAAATTGCAATTTGCCAGGTTTGGACTATATCGACTATTTACTCTGTATGAGATATGTTGTAATATTTGAAATTTGTTGAAATATACGTGTGGTACTAGATGCAGTGCACCGAAGTATTCTGTTTCGTCTAATACTTATAATAATATTGGGATGTGCAAAATTTAAAGAAAATGGAACATATAAATCCAATTTTATGCGAACAATCGTCGGTGACTTGTTCCGCTGTTATAAGGGTTAAGTTTTCAAATACTAAACATCCGGAGGTCGCCTTGTGTGGAGTATATAGCCCATCTTCAACAAAATACAGCTCTATGCGAAGTCTTAGCTTAATATCTCAAGTCATTTTGACCCTAGCATGATTACAACAGACGGACGGAATTAACATTGATTTTTGCGTTAATAAGGAACGTATATCAATGTCAAATTATGCAGCTTATTTTACTGTAAACTTTGGTAGGAATTTTTAAACTAGTAGGTATAGTTATATGGTGGCTTTTCGGGTATTGTCATATAGTGTACGGCCAATACTAAATAACTACAAAGAACTATGTGAAATATATATCTAGATTTTACCAGACAACCTAGAGTCGGATATATTGGATTCAACTTTTAAATTCATGTATACTTAATGAGCTCCACGATACGTTTTTTGAGGTGTTGATAACTTAAGGAAAAAGTCAAGTTCTCCTTCATTATATCTTGGAGGGTATAAATTTCTGTAGCGGCTTATTGTATTTTATCGAAGTTAGAGTTGTACATTGGTGCTTCTTGTCAATCTGATTAAATATTTAAATGAAGCGATGAACCTCATTTTGTAACCATTCTAAGTGCTGAGTGGTGCTGAGTCCTGTTGGAATGTCTAAGGTCTGCGGCCAAAATATTTGCGAGCGCAAGGCTTTAATACACCCTCCAGAATATTTTCGCGATAATATTCGTCATTTAATCTCATGCCATGTTCGATTAATTCGAGCGGAGAGCGACCATCGGCTGTTATGGCGGCCCACACCATCACCAAAGTTGGCGCCTTCTGGTGGCCAACCGAAGGTGTACATTTTCAGCTGACCTCTTTGGCAAGTAAACACTATCATTTTGATTGTTTACCAACTTCTGGACAACGAATGTTTTCTCATCAGAGGAAACCAATTTCGGCAGTTCATCACTTTCGACCAAGCGAAGCAACTCTTTAGCTCTTTTGAGTCTATTTTCTTTCTGTTGCAGTGTTAGTTCTTGCACTTTTTGGTTCTTGCAATGGCTTTACCCCGAGGTTAGTTTTCAATATTTGCCGAATGAAATATTGCGATATGTTCAGCTCACGAGCCATTTTTTGGCCACTGCAACCATTTCTGCTGATGTTGCTGTTTTCTTCCGTCCACTTCCTTGACGTCGGACTAAGCTTCAAGTATCACGGTAACGAGCGATGGTACGAAACACAAAAGATTTCTTCACATTTAAATGCTGGAGTGCTCTAACGATAGCCACTTGTGGTTTTTCAGCTAAAAATAAAGAAATCACACTATCACGCTTGAATTCCAACACGAATAACTTTTTCAGATATCCTCTTTATATTCGTCGGAGACCACCTAAAGTAAATATGTTCAGGATCAGCATAAAATTCTAAATCGATTTAGCGATGCCTGTTTGGATTGGCTGGTATTGAAAATAAGCTATATCGGTTCACATTTCCCAATAGTCCCCATTTAATGGTGATTCCCGATATTCAGTATTTTGCCAATTTCAGCTGGCTTTTCTGACAGATTTGTCTAAAACGAGTTTAAGAATCGGTGGCCAAATATTTATTTATTTATTTAGGTCTACTTTTCCCTATAGCTCCTATATGACAGTACTTCTCGATATTTGGTATTTTAATGATTTTTTTTCGATAGCACTGCTTCCTAATATTCGTCATTTTGATAATTTCACCCACATTTTCTTACGAAATTGTTTCCAATTTAGCAGAATACAATCCTTATAGTAGAAAATTATCTCTATAGTTGCACGCTTGGGTATTGGGTAACGGTTCCATCCACTTTTTTGTGTTTTGAATCCTGAACTCAGTAGTATTTGTAGTTTTAAGTGGTATACGTTTCAATAGATACAGCTTTTTCATAAATGTTTTTTACCTCATGGTGGAGAGAATTCCAATTTTGATCCGAATGAGCTTGTTTCTAGCTAATTTACTCATACATTTGTTCGAAATCTGTAATACTGTGTTAATACTACCCACTCTAATATTCGTGAAACATAATCATGTTTAACGCCAAATATCAATGTCATGTATCCCTCCAATCATAATTCAGAGTAATTGCCTTACAATGAGTGTGGAAAAACATTTCAATCGCTCCATAACACCAAATGTTTATCGAAAACCCCAGTTAGCGAACAGTATAAGTGAAGTACGAACTGATGTTATTACTTATGAATTGTGGGTCCTTGGGTTGGTCCTAGACTGAGATTACCTCCGCTTGAGATAAAACCTTTCAGTATGCTATGTTTCCCTCCAAAAACGCTAGCGAATATTTCCCTTACGTTCGTGTTTTTGAATTCACTGATGAAGGGCAGGATAGATGTATCAAAAGGGTTTTTCTAAATTCGAATTTTGAGGTTAAGATAAGTTCTAAAATGGTACTAAGTAAATAAAATTGTACCATTTGGTATTATGTAAACGGATAAAGCTAAGAACTTGAACTTTGGTATGAGAAGCTTGGAAACTAAGTTTGATATATGAAGGTACTAAAATTGGAACTAAATGGTACTAAAATTGGAACAGATTGGTACAGGGTGAACAGATGAAGCTGGGATTTTTATTATAATTGTATGAAAAGTACTGTATGGTACTATATTTAATATTAAATGAAGGGATAAAAATAAAAAATTTAAAATTAATTATATTTCGATTTCTTATGGTAACTGTTTTTGAGATTTGGCGCTGATTTTAAAATACATCCTATATTTGTACGAGAAGTACTAATTGTTGCTAAATTTGCTGAAATCCTGCAATATGATATTGAGGTCTGTGTTGGTATCTGGTGGTGGTTTTGCAAATGCTTACTATAATTATTCAAAAAGTACTAAAGCTATGATTTCTAAGCTGTTAAAATTATTCCAGTGACAGCTCATTATATTGTTAACAAGCGTACAAAGCATTTTGGTGAGAATTTTCCAGAAAAAAAGTTATTCGTGATGGAATTCAAGCGTGATAGTGTGATTTCTTTATATTTGGCTGGAAAACCACAAGTGGCTATCGTTAGAGCACTCCAGCTTTTAAATGTGAAAAAATCGTTTGTGTCTCGTACCATCGGTCGTTACCATGATATCCTAGTTGGTAGCGTAGCCCGATGTCAAGGAAGTGGACGGAAGAAAACAGCAACATCAGCAGAAATGGTTGGAAAAGTAAAGAAGCAATTTAATCAAACCCGCGTCGTAGTGCCCGAAAAATGACTCGTGAGCTGAACAAATCGCAATATTCAATTCTGCAAATATTGAAAAATGAGCTCGGGGTAAAGGCACTGCAATTCGAAAAAGTGCAAGAACTTACACTGCAAGAGAAAGAAAATAGTCTCAAAAGAGTTAAAGATTTGCTTCGCTTGGCCGTCGTGTCGATCACCTCAAGCAAGCGCTTCGCCGAGAATGGACCAAAATGCAGCAGAGCAATATTCGGGCAGCATGTGACAGTTTCATTGGTCGTTTGAAAGCCACAATACGTGCCAAAGGTGATCAATTCGAACAAATCTCAACTTATTCTAAAATTTGGTACTATTTCTTATATTTTTGCTTTTATTAAATAAAATTAAAAAAAAATGTAAGAATTATGGCGTTTGACTTTGTTGCAGTTTTTTTATCTCACCATTCCACGCATCAGAAGAAAACACGCATCATGCCAACTATCTGTTTTTTTAACTCCCCTTTAATATATACACAGTATTTTTTTAGTAAAATTTCCATTTATAATTTATTTGGTATTTAATATTGTCTAAGAGTTTGTTCTTTTTGTTTCAGTTAAATTACATAGATATAGTAAACTAATTAAGCAGTTTCGTTTTCTATTTTTTACACATTACGAGATTTAACTAATCATTATTATATTACACAGTACTTACATAGATAACCTAAAACTAAAGACTTTCTTCTTTCTATAACTATGAAGTAGAATTAATGTTGTTGTTCTTGTTGATGGTTTTAAATATTGGAAACAAAAACACATCCTCGGTGTTTTCAATAACACCATCAACGGCTCTTAACTATTTCACTGTATATTCCGAAGTAATTCAATTTGTATTATGCGACACAAAAATTGTTTTTGTTTAGATTTAAAATAATAATTTGTTAACATAAAATAATAAATTTTTAAATGAAACAGAAAAATTGAAACAATATTGGAAAATAAGATTTAAAAAAAAAAAATATTACACAATTAATCACTTGGTTTTGGAGGTCTAGAAAAGTAAAGGATATAATTCATAATTAAATGCAAATAAAATTTGAAAAAAAAAATCTATATATTTTATATTCAAATATTTGAGCGTTTCTTCATTTTGAGAAAACATGTACAAAGCTTGAGGTACTTAAATATCATTTTGTAGGGAGAGAAATTCCACATACATTCAGATACGATGAACGGGTTTCTTTCCAAGTGTTCATTTTAAAAATATCGGATTTGTATTGAATGCCTATATTTTTGTAAAGACATTGATTCCGTAGAATCACAATCAAAGCCAGTGCAAAAATATATTTCTTTCTCTTCCATTTATTTAACCTATAATTCGATTGTTTATCATATACAATATTCAATTCTACAGAGTGGTCAAATCATAGTCCTGTTTTATGTGCTGCAAATTGATCATCATATCCTGTGTATGATGTTGTTGTTGTTGTTGCTGTTGTGGCATATGCGTCTGATGTGAATGCATGTTGGATTGCATTCCCGCGTTGTTGCTATTATTGGTCGCATTATTGTTGTTATTTAGATGCAGATTGTTGTTGTTGCCATTGTTAATATTGTGATTGCGGTTGCCATTGGGATTACCATTTCCCATGCTGTTGACATTGCCACCATTGTTGGCATGTTGACTTTGTGCCGTCTGAGATCCATTGTTGTTGTTGTTGTATGAGTTACATGCATTTGTTTGTTGGGGGTTCATTAAATTTGCACTATCACCAGCAGCTGGTATATATGGAGGATTATTTAATGATGTATTTACATCGCCCATACTTTCCATACTGTCCGTACGCAAACACTGAAAAAGAAAAGGAAGAAGTTGAATTTCAAAAATTAATTAAATTAAAAAAAAATTAAATTGATAACATCGACCTCTTTGCTGATACTACAAGAAAACTTATATTTAATAGCTTCTAAGAAAATTTTCTCTTGATTATAAGTAAAATTGCTTAAAAATTGCACTTTTTTGATATTTGGAAAATGCATAATTCTAAAGCTGTTGGAATAAATTTTGTTTTACAATTGGTAATTATAGCCTAGTAGAGCACAGAATAGTAAATCTGCACAATATCATCAATTGGACATGAGAAAAGTGATTGGGAAAAACTACATATTCTAAAATATGATATAGGAAAATTGGTACAGAAGAGTTAAAAACGGCAACAATTTTGGTATTGGGCAAATAAGAAATATATATTCTCTTAATACTTTTCCGATTAAAATAACTATACCCTACACCACATAGTGGTAATGGTATTATGTCTTTGTGCATTAGTTTGTAACATGGAAAAGGAAGCGAGATAGACCCGTAGTTACTTTTGAGGATATTCATAGAATCACTAACCCATAGTTATGTTTGAGGATATTCATAGAAAACACTATCTGAGTCGATTTACGCATGTCAGTCTGTCCGTCCGTCAATGTATTCTTGTAAACAAAATGCAGGTCGTATTTATTATGCCATTGAATTTTTTGCAAACTCTATTTGTTTGGCTCAAGGACGAACCCTTTTGAAAATGGTGATAATCGGATCAGATTTAGATATACATACATCATATATCTTCAACCGATTTCGGGTTAATTGGCTAATATAAGTCCAACTGACCTGTATTTTGGTACATTCTACCGAATTAAGTCTAAAAGTAAGTAAATCAAATTTGGAGAAAATCGGCTTTAGCTCCCATATATATGTTTCATCTAATTTGGGGTTTTAAGTCCCTAACATGCGTAATATGCTCTCCAGAAGAATTATATGTGGTACCGGACATCATATACTGCTGTCAAGCGTAATATGCATTCCACACTTTGGTACCAGTTATCAGATATAGCCCAGAAATACCTACGCCGAATTTTATCAAGATCGATTCAGATTTGGATATATATCTTCAACCGATATATATCTTTAACCGATTTTGGATTAATTGTGAATATATGTCCAAAAGTCCTGAATTTTGGTACATCTAATCGAATTCAGTCTAGAAGCAAGTGCATCGAATTCAGAGAAAATCGGTTCAGATATAGCTATAGTTCCCATATATATGTTTCATTCGATTTGATGTTTAAGTCCTTCAAATTCTTAATATGCATTCGACAACAATGATATTTGGTACCTGATATCTTATAAAGCTCTGCCAAATTGTATCAAGATCGTTTCAGATTTGGATATAGGTCCCATATATATCATCTATGCATATTGGTGTAGGTTATCATATAGTCGGCGCCGCCCGACTTTTGACTTTTATTTACTGGTTTTCCCTTGATATTCCCCATTTGCCTTTTTCTCCATCGCCGAAAATAGTTTTCATCCATAGTTACACCTAGAAAAGTTTCTAATATTCTTTTATAGCCACCCAAAACGTAGTTTCAAAAGAAATAAAAAATGAATTTTTCCCCACTTTATGTCCTTTATAATGTGTGGTTGATTGCACATATAATCTCCTTCCTTAGAACACACAATTCTTGTAGGCATCACTTTCATATCCTGATATCATTTCTTATACTCAAAATTTTTGTCCTCAGTCTTCTTTATTTTTGTTCCGAAAGTTTTAAAGCATTCATATTTACCTCATTTATCACAGGCTGTTGTTGTTGCTGTTGTGAATTTTGTGTTTGTTGTTGCTGCTGTTGTTGTTGTTGCGCCTGCTTCTTGGCACTAACTCTCTTTGGTTTCTTTGCAACTGGTGCTATTGGATTGCCATTAGCATCGACCTTTTTGCGTACGTTCTTGGTGTTGGGTAATTTATTATCCTTTTTCCATTTCATACGTCGATTCTGGAACCAAATCTTAATTTGTCTTTCGGACAACACTAACGTGTGGGCAATTTCAATGCGTCGCCGGCGTGTTAAATAACGATTATAGTGGAACTCTTTTTCCAATTCGAGTATTTGGTGACGGGTGTAGGCGGTTCGTTGTCGTTTCGGTTCCATTCCGGGTTGATATGAGCCATTTGCTGAAAGTAAAAAAAATTTGAAACTTTAATATTTAACTCTAAAAGGAATTTTACTAAGTTTTTAGGAACTTTATGTGTACAATATAAGCTTAGATAAATAATTATAGACCTATACCAATAGAAGACAATTTCTGCAGAGGGCTAGTTTGTTGTAAGATGCAAATAATTAAAATATTTTGGATCAGGATACCATTTTATGGTTAGATTGAAATTTTACTTATTTTCAACTGAAATTCTTGCTACGTAGAACTGCAAATATCAAATTACAGCTGATTCGGTTGAAATTTGTGACAATAATCTGTTAATTAATTAATTAAAATCCAAAGTCAAATTTCAAATTCTATAAAATACATTTCAACTTATAAAGGGATAGTTTAATCCAATCTGAATTTTATGCCGATTAAAATAATATACTTGATAGTGTCTCTGCGGAATGTCTAAACACTCAGGAACTAAATTCTACTTAGCTTAACTTTTAAATTAAAATACAGACATGTGTAGTTATATCTTTTTTTTTTGGATTTTTTAAAGCCAACACACATATTCTATTAAAAAAGTTTTTTTTAGAAAATATAAATTGCCAAAAAACGTTTAACAAATTATTTGAAAAATTAATTTTTTGTTCTCCGGAAAAATGGCAATTTTAGGTTTTTTCAAAGAAGAGCCTCCTCGTAATAAAAATGCTTCAAAATCTTAAGATGGAATTAAATTAATTTTTCTAACGACAATATCAAGTACTTGGCCTCGAATTCATTTAATAGAGTTGTCAATACTAAATACTCCCAAAAAAAAGTTTGGATATTTATCTTAGATGTAATATCTTTACTTGTCTTATAACCCAACAAACCACCCTTTCCCATACCAATTCACAAGCGGGGTAAAACTTTTATTTTGATAAGTTCTGTCAAAGTTTTCAGATGAATACAAATGGAGAAATATTGTAGCGAAACGGACAGTAGATGGGAATGTTCTATGTTCATTTCGTTTTTTCTTTGATGGGTAGACAGACCCCAAAGGGGAACAGCAGGTGTGAGAAATGAATTTTATTTTCAAATTAACTCAAGTTGATCACAAACCGTTTTAATTTTCGTTTTCTTTACAGCTAAGGTCTTTAGGTATTACAGCCAAAGCCGAAAGGGGTTGAGTTTATGAAAAAAAAAACAATGGTAGAAGACGGGTCATGAAAAAAGGGCCATAAGAAAGAAGTAACTTGCTTATAGTTTTTTTTTTCATTTTCTACGCACAACCATCCCGTACACAAAATTACAGACCTACAGGCGGCCACCGTTGTTTCCAGCCGTGGTATCAGCGCCGCCACACGGCCATAGTTTATCTGTTACACAGTTGTTACTTTGCTCGCATACAATTTCGTCATATCTTTTGAAGTTGATTAATTATCCTGACGCGTAAATGTCAAATTGGAAATGTGAACTAATGCAGAACTCTTTTTTCGGCGTTCTCTAGTTCTTTTTTTGTGTTTTGTCTTGTGTCGGCGTATGGAAGATGGACAGTGGTGGCAAGTGGAGAATTTGGGAAATATTGTTGGGGAATAAATATACAGAAAGAAATGGGGATTACTATACCCCATGCATGAAATTTTATGGAGAGTATATTATTGGAGTAAATGTGGAATAACTGCGCTCTGAGTTTAAAATGCATTTGCTCTAATATACTCTTTTATAACCACCGTGCCACACATACATTTGTAAATGTTTACCTTACGCCAATGTGCCAAAGAGTAACCGCCCCTTCCCATTTAAGTTCATAGACTTTTTAATGTTCTAACAACATTGGCCAGAAGCGAAAAAGAACCCATAACTGCCCATAAGGTATGACTCTTCCCAGAGTTGGAATTAAATGTGTGACTGGGTGGGTGGTCTCCATAACTGCACAGCTGTGGTCTTAATTGTTGATTTTCAATGACTACATTCGTCTTCTTTTTACGACTCTTTTGACAGATATCAGACTATTGATCTTCAAGGAAAGGCCTTAGTACAAATAACCCTTTTGGGTAAATTTGAAACAATTTGAAGAAAGTTTGACATTGTAATTAATTGTAATGGAATAGAAAATTTGTAAGGCCTTTAAAATTTTCAAAATGGTATTATTAATTTGGTGGAATAACAAATTATGGTCAATTTATAAATGCCAAATTTAAGTAGGAATTTGTCGCCAGAAGATTGTAAGAACTTTTTTACGGATTTCGGAATTTCAAAAGAAATATTGCATAAATATTTCAATAACAAAACAAACGTAGGATGTAGAAAACTTTTTTAATTCTGGACAGCTTAATGATTTTGCGGATTTTTTTCATTCCCTCTTAAAGAACATACCCAGGACAAATAACACTTTCATTGAAACATTGAAATAAAAGCTATATTGAGAAGTTTTATACCCTCCACCATATTATGGAGGGTATATTAATTTCGTCATTCAGTTTGTAACTCCTCGGATTTATGTCGACCTACAAAAGTATATATACACATATATATATATATATATATATATATATATATCTATATATATATATATATATATATATATATATATATATATATATATATATATATATATATATATATATATATATATATATATATATATATATATTCATGATAAGCGTAAAATTCTAAGTCTATTTAGCGATGTCCGTCTGTGTGTCCGTCATTACCCCGATACCCCGACATTATTCACCGGAATTGTTCCAAATTTCGTATTGGAAAATGTAAATGTGTACTACAATCTATGACAATAAATTACTCATGCAGGTCCATGTGGTGGACTTAAATAAGAAATTGGATGAAAGATCTATATGGGAGCTATTACCTGTACCTATTTTCACAAAATTTCTAGCTAAATTTAGTCTCATATGTCAAATTCCTTTCTATTTGAGCTAATAGTACACATTTGGTACATAGACAGCAGGTGTCGTCTGTATCGTTTCAGAGGTATGAGTGAAAATATTGAAGTCTCTCAATTCTAAAATGGTAAAAATATCAGCAACTGAAAGATATTTGACAGTTTAAAACCTATTCCAGAAAAAAATATAAGTGGAAAGTACGGGATGCCATACGCTTTTAATCCAGTGCAATTCTTGCAAAACGAAGAAATGTGTTTTCGAAGTTAAGTACATCGACTGCGTAAATCAGCATGTTGACTATGAAAAGCGTATTGGGAGCCATCTGCATAAAAAACAATACTAACTTTCCATTGTCTATATTTATACCCTCCTCCTTGGAGATATATCGGTCCACGCTTTGGTATAGTCCCTATATAACAGTACCTCCCGTTATTTTATATTTAGGTGATTTTTTGCACATTTTTTCGCAGATTTGATACAACTATATCTCCAGATAATCGGTACTTTGTTCACTTTAGCTTCATTATTCACTGGAATTGTTTCAAATTTGGTATTTGAAGTTTGTAATGGATACTACAGCCTGAGACAGAAAATTGTCTGTGCAGGTCCACGTCTTCGTATAACCCCCATATAACGGTACCTCCCGATATTCGGTATTTTGATAATTTTAGCTACATTATTCACCGATTTTTTTTAAGTTTCGCATTTGAGTATTGTAATGGCTTATGACAAAAGTTTCCTAGGCAGGTCCATGTCGTCGATAGACTCTAATGAAACAGCTACATTCGGTATTTTTAAGATTTTAACAGAATTTTTAGTGGATTTTATTGTTTTTGAGAATTGCCAAATTCGTTTCAAAGGGTGGAGGGTATTCAAAGTTCGGCCCGGCCGAACATACAGCTTTTTTACTTGTTTTTAATTTAATTTTTTACGTGTTTTTGTTTCTCTATGTTTGGAACACAATTAAATTGAAAAACGTTATATATGGGAACTGCATTTAAATAATCACAAATTTCTATATGCAAAATAAATGATGTGTAGAAAATTTATATGGAGCTCACCAAAAAGAAGCACGGGTCTATCTCGTTTACTTCTGCATGTTACAAAACAAATGCACATAGACATAACACAATTTACTACAGTGTAGTGTAGAATATACAAGCAATACATGAGATTGGTATACCCTATCAATGGTGATGGTAATATACCTCCAAAAGAAAGTTGGCTACGTTAAATACATTTCAAGTTTTACTCCCTGTGTAGAGTATAAAATATTCGTCCGTTTTTTATTTTTGTTTTCTGTTAATAAATACACAATAAAATTACAAATACTTGATGACGGATGAAATGGATATGGTTGCACTGTTATGGTTGGATAACGGACAAGGGAATTTCAAAGCGTATCTGAACTAACTGCATTGTCATTGTACGTGCCTTAAATAGGCATATGAAAAGGAGTTGAATGATGATGATTTTTCCCTTCTTGCCACATATTGCAAACGTTACTACGCTGCGCCATAACAACCTTTTCCAGCCATCAACAATGAACAGAGAGTGCCAATTGTGACGATTTCGCTTTTATTCTCTGATGAAATGGCCAATTTATGAAATGAAAATGAAATCCAAGAATTGGAATTGTGCTATGTCATTACTCGTGTATGTCTGTTGTATGAATAAATGTACATAGAATAGAAAGTAGGGAGTATGTACGATGAAAAAAAAAACAAAAACAAATATTTTTTACTGAAATGTACTGGGAGTTGTAAAATACATTTGAAATGTTTCATTCCCTTTGTAGAGATAAACTAAAAAAAGTTTTATTGTAAACACTAATTAAGTCAATTTAGATTTGCATTTATCTGAAATCTAGATCTAATATTATAACAACAACAACAATTTTAGGGTTTTTTATATTAGAAATTGAAACAACTACTCTTCCAAACTAGGCTGCAACTTAGATTGAATTATAAAATTTCATAAAAAAAACATTGATTGGCCCTTGAGCACATTGCATGCTTCAGAGCTAAAAACTGTTATCAGAACAATATTTTTATGTTCTCGAAATACATTTGAACAACTCAGCTACCCTCAACTGTGCCATTGACAATTTTACTTCATGATGTTATATTGTAATTTCCCA